ATGATGACGATCAGTAAATTGTGTTTTTATATTTCACATAGGTACTTAGATATTTCATTATTATTTCAAGATAATTTAATTTCAAGGTTTGCTTTGTAAATTGTTTTATTTTACATCGATACGAGCGCCAATTACTAGCTATTATTACGATCTGAAGAAAAAATATTCATACTTGTGTACGAACAAACAATAATATTCATTATAGTACCTATAATACTTAATTAATATTTTATATTTTAAAGGTAAACACTAATTTATTTCAATTGTATAATACAAGTATTTTTAAATTGTTTTCACATAATTTGGCATTATTATAAAACAACCTAAATAAAATAATATTGTTTCCTATTTTCTATTGTTAGAATAGATAAATTCAAATTATTAAAATTATTGCTGAATAAGTTGTTAATTAGTTGTAAGTTTTTTAATTTCTGATGAGTGGAGTAGTGTTTCAAAATTTAACAGATTATCCTTGTGCCACTCCATTGCACTGTTCTTTTATTTCAATTCGTAAGACTACATTTCACAATAATTGTTCGAATTTTGAAATTTAATTCTAAAAAAATTGTATTCTGTTAGGAATATGATTTTTCATATTAAACTCAGCAGTTCAAAAAAGTAAAAACCTAAAATATGATAACTATTTAAAATAAAATTTTTCCCAATATTATTGTTTTGTTTTGATTTTATAATCTAAGTAAAAAAAATGTAATACTTTTCCATAAAATTAATGGTTACCTTCAAAATAAACACCTTTTAATTTTTATCCTGCCATAAAATCAGATACAAAATATGTCTGATGGTTTATTATAAACGAACATAAATGACATGAATCAAATCGAATTAGTTATTTTTTCCTCCACTGATAAAATATAACTCAATTTATTCTATAAGTGCATACTTTAAAATCTCAAGTGATTCCTGATTTTATTATTTTAGAGCTACAAGTCTTCTATCCTAATAACAAATTTTATCACACGACATAAGTGTGTATGCTTTTTGAAAATCTTATTTTCTATCGTTTTGTATATGGTAAGTATTAATGAGTACTATTATTTTTACTGTTTCACATTATCACATAGCATTAAATGAAATCTATCACACAAAGTCACGGCCAGCGATTTCACATCGCAAAAGATATAATAAAATGTTCAAAATACGAATGAGTATTCTTTACACAGTAGTGCGGTGATTATAATTTACCGAAAAAAAACGAAACTATTATTTTAGACAAGACATTTTAATAGGTACAGTATATGGTCGTATCAGAGTTGTGGGAGACCTACATCGTTACAAGTGGTTATAGCAGTTAATTTCGATCTACGGAACGACAAACTATATAATTGATCAACATCGAAAGTTCCTTATCCATATGTCAACAGGATTTATGTTTAACATTTATCAAGACGATAGCTTTCTAGTTGCTAGTTAGTATGGTGCGTCATGTCTTGAAATTTGAAATTTGTAACACGGCGTTATGTGTAGGCAAAAGTGCTACATAACCGTACAGGAAAACGTAAAGAGAATTTCAATATCAACCATTATTCTTGATTTGAACAGAATTAAATTATTTACGAAGAGAGTGAAACTTTATTATGTTTCAATAAATTTCAATATTATATATAACAATATAACCGTGTTAAAATCGTCAATAGCTATTATCAGAGAACACGTTTTAGAAATGGAATTACTGCTCAAATGTCACTCTCAAAATAAATCGATCCATAACCTATGTAGGAGGGGTAACATAGCTATTGTTTTTAAGATATTTTTTTTTTTTTGAAATGCATTATTTTGGAATGATTAAATAATTAACTCATAACACTCGTGGATTCGAATTGACTTCTAGTTGCTACTAAAAAAATCATTGCTTTGCGTAAACGTTTGATCAAACAGAAAAATATAAAATAGTTAATTATTTTTATTCAATATTTTGCTACTATTTTATTTTTAGAAATGGAAAATCAGAAAATAAATTTCCCCGTCCTTTGAATAGACTTTGTGTACAAGTTAAAACAAACAATTATTTTAGTGTGAGTGCAGAATAAAAATTCGTGCTCACAAAGACCACGTTGTTTGTACCCCCTTGCCTGTACACGTGATGGCGATGGTTTTCAATTTCGACTTTAAATGGACCACACTATGTTTGGGGGAAGACGTGATGCAATGAGTGTTCGCCTTTTGTGCTGAAATATTGTTAAATTGTACCAATGCCTGTACGCGCTTTCTTTATATAACTATGGATGCGTGATTTTCGCACAAGCACTGGAAACTAACTATAGATACACTCAGAGACAGTAAAAAAACTCATATATAATTTATACTTGAAAGGAAAAATAAACACATGGTACTATTATTGAAGAATTTAAAAATAATACATTTTTCATGTCGTGAATTTTGTTTTATTATATTTACGTTTAAGTTTTGGTGATTGGGAAAGTGTATCAAATGTTCCTACCTATAATATAACATATATTATTATGTACATTGTACATATTCATCGTCACGTAAATGACTCAATGTACAGTGGTCACACATATTCGTTGCAAGTTTCCTTATAATTTCACGTGCGAATATGTACTCACTTGATTATTTGAAGAACGGCCGATGATATATCTCCAATTAAAATCATATATTATACAAAATAAAATTGATCACTAGAGACTTTGCATCTGTTGTTTTTTTGAGAAAAAAATTTGAAGGATAATTTGTTTTTTTTTGTAATTGTAAGTTATATACCGACAACAATGATTATCAGGTACGTCTGATGTCTTCATTTTTTTTTTTCGAAATTTTGTACACTAATAATATTATTTATGATGAAATTAAAAGGATTTTAAAAGATTAAGTGCACATTATCAAGTTTAAATGGGTGACATGTTAAATTTTAATTCAAAGATAAAATTTAATCAACGCAGTATACGATGAAAAATGATTTTGAGCAAAGACAGTCTGACTTTTGGGAAACCAAGGTTACCAAATATTATTTATTTAATAAAAATGTTCAAATTTTAACAAATGTTTGTATTAGATTCCTAGAACTTAGCGAATTCGGAATGAATTCATTATATAAACGATGACGTGGGTTTTTATTTGTTTTTCTATCTATCATTAACAAATTTTGGTGTAATAAAAATGGTTCGATTTTCGACATCAGCATCTTTCTGATAGAAAAGTGAACCTATTTTAACCCTATTTTTAAGAGATCAACATTTAAAATTGTTTATAATTCACAGTAAAACAGTGTGGTACTCTTATAAAGCCTCAGAAAAATCCTTAATAGCATACTAATGTGAGTTATTCAAAATATTTTATTTACTATTTAAGTGTAGGTGACTATAGACATTTCAAAAAATGGTTTGAGCATGTTTGGTGAATCACTTTGTACACAGATATAATATTTAAACCCGTAGTGGACAACCTGCGAATACTTATACGTTTAAGTGCGACGTACTATATTGGTTAATAGTCATGAATACTGATGTAATAGACCGTAAAATCTCAATATATTAGCTGCATTCAGTGATTTGAATTTGTGTTCAGGTGGATAAACAAGATATACATTAAGTGCTCACGGTTCGATGTGCAACACTGAAACCGAATAAATGATCACTTATCTAATCGTGATGCCTGGTGTTGAACCACGTGGTTTTCACACGCTAATATATTTGTAATATTACTTCGATTATTAAAGTATTTCGTGATTAAGAAAACAGTGATTGATAAAGGGGAAACTAAAACATTAAATATTATTTCCTTTATAGGTAGGTATAGTTACTAATTCGCCCAATTTCTAATTAGTTACTTGAAAATTGGATATTTTGGATTAATAAATGTACTAACAGATTAAATTTTAAAATTATTGAGATTTTTTTGACTGTACCTACGGCTCCCGAACTCCGCATTCTGTGAAACAAGTGATTTTATTTTCTAATAAACACTGTCGCATTAATTTATTTTTTGATGGGTAATTATTAATTAAGTTTATGAACAGATTAAGCTTCAAGGTTCAAGAAATTAAAAATTATAAATTAATAAAAAAATATGTATGAGATTTGGTGTATACCTGACACCTGTCAAATTATGAAAACAAATGCAGCAAACAAACAACGTCAACACATAAAATTGTATTTTTTTAAATTTTTGTTACTAAAATCATTCTGTTTTTAATTATTATCAAAATATATCGAACCGAGTCATAATTCTACTTAAAGTATACCACCAACCTAAGACATAATACATTCTATATTCCTACCGCACGATTATATTATGATAGATGGGTGATGATTTTTTTTTTAATTTGACTACATTTTTAAATACAATATCACAGCTTGGCAATTTAAATAAGATTTTTATCGTGAGATACTACGCCACCACAATTATGGGTTACATTTTGTGGTTGGGGGTAATAATGGCGAAGGGGAGGTGACTATTTCGCAGTCATCACACTGAACTTTTAGGTACAATAATATTTCCATTATAAATTATCATATTCGTATTCATAATACGTCCAATCGTCTACGATATTATTATAGTATCAGTCAAGGCCGTATCTGTGGGTGGGGGGGGGTCCAGGGTGTCTGGACCCCCCCCGAAATTTCTTCAATATTTTACCTTCTTTATTATATTTAAAATAATTATTTATTTTTGATACCAACTTGAAATATTTTCAGTCAAAAATGACTTAAGCTCCAATTAAATTTACCATTGACTATTTTTAGTTTTATATCATAATATTATTATCTTATGAAATCTCTACGTTTCGTAGGCCGGCCGCCGGGTACTAATAATAGATTGTTTATTATTGATGGACAACGACCATCGACCGCTGTCGATGCCGGTCGGAGGTGTCAGCGACGATTAACGACAATATTTAATTTGTGTACATTATAAATATATTATTATTTATCATACCATTTTGTCGTCTGCAAGACTATTACAAACACGTAACACGTCGAATCGTTTTCCAAAGTCAATATTTATAAATATTATTTATCATAATGAGTAAACGAGAAAACAAAAATGTACTATCAAATTATTTTTCTAAACTTCCAAAGGTACGTTCTACGTTATATTATTTCATTAAATATTATGTATATTAATAATTTAACTACCAAAACGTTAATTCATAGACTTTATTTTAGACTGATAAAGTTCCTATTCTTCTACCACAAATAGAAACGCCATCGCCATCGTGTAGTCATTCACCCACAGATTTGCAAACAAACAAAAGTAATTTATTAAAATCGGACGCCGAACAAATAGTTGAAGACAACGATATCGGCTACTGTTTCGGTAAAAATGTATCTGATGAAATAAAATTTAAATTAATAACTGATCATTGGTCACCAGATGAAAATTACAAATTCCCAATTACTACAAATCTAAAAAAAAAATTAAAGTTTCAATTAGGATGGATTAAACGTTTTCCTTGGGTTGCTTATTCGAGAATTGGTGAACAAGGTGCAGTTTGTAAATATTGTGCTATATTTGGTCGCGAATTTGGTGGCAAAGGCAGTCACCAGAAACTTATTTCACTAGTTGTAAAACCTTTTAATAACTGGAAAAAAGCGATTGAAAAATTTAATGAACATAGTAAAACTGAATTTCACAAATCTAATGCTATGCGTGCAGATAATTTTGTAGCTGTTTATTCCAAAAACTGCCAAAATATTATCCAAAAATTAGATTCAGCGCGTGCTATTCAAATTGATCAAAATAGAAAGAGATTAATTCCTATTATTCAAACAATTATTATTTGTGGGCGTCAAGAAATAGCTTTACGTGGTACTAGTGATTATGGACCGCTCTCTTTAGAAAGTTCTGAACCTACTTACAACGACGGTAGCTTCCGAGCATTATTAATAATGCGCATTTCGTGTGAAGATAAAAATCTAACGTATCATATTGAGAATCAAGCGTTAAATGCTTCATATATAAGTCCTATGATTCAAAATAATTTTATAAATATATGTGTAAAAATTATACAAGACCAGTTAGTTTATAAAATTAATCGGGCAAAATGTTTTTCCGTATTAGTCGACGAAACAACCGACGTATCGCGTGTTGAACAACTTTCCTTGTGTGTACGTTATTTAGAAAATAATTTAAATATTGAAAAAAATGAAATTAATAATTATGTATTGAAAGAAGACTTCTTACAATTTGTACCTGTAAGTTCTACTACTGGTCAAAATTTGGCCACAGTAATTCTAGTTACTTTAAAAAATCTCGGTATAACATGTGACTATTTACTTGGCCAAGGTTATGATGGCGCCGCAGCCATGAGTGGTAATTTTAAAGGAGTACAATCTGTTATAAGAGAAGTACATCCCGCTGCACTTTATGTCCACTGTAGTGCACATTCCCTAAATTTAGCACTAGCTCATTCGTCAAATATTCACCATATTCGAAATTGTATTGGTACAATAAAATCTGTAGGAAATTTTATTAAAATATCGGCTAAACGAACTGAACTATTAAAAAATAAAATAAAAGAATTTCTTCCTCAAACTAAATGGACAAAATTAACTTCCATGTGTGAGACAAGGTGGGTTGAAAATCATGATGGTATGCTTAGATTTTCAGAAATATATAAACCTATTGTTGCAACATTAGAAGAACTACAATTATTTGTTGACATTGAAACGTCATCTAAAGCGTTACAGTTATATAAGTGTGTAACAACTAGTGAATTTATAATAAGTATGATAACTGCGACCACACTTTTTTCTATAACTTTGCCATTATGTAAAATATTGCAGTCGGTAAAATGTGATTTAAGTGAAGCAGTAGATCACGTTGAAACTGTTTTAAGTGAAGTGAAAGATATGCGAACAAAAATTAATGAAAATTTCAAAGAAATATTCAATAAATCAGAACAATTGTTCATATCCGTGAATGATGAAGAAAAAATAAAAATACCAAGATTAGTAAGTCGTTCAAAAATTAGAATTAATGTGGATACCAAAATTCCCGAAGATTATTTTCGTATTGCAATTGCAATTCCATTCTATGATGATTTTATTAGTCAACTTAAAGAACGGTTTTCCAAACACAAGAAGATTTTATCGTCTTTGTATTTATTAATACCAAAAATGTGTTTGAAATCCCCGACTTTAGAATCAGATTTTAGTTTATATTCAGATTTTATAAATGTTGATACATTACCTTCAGAACTAAAACTGTGGAAAAGAAAATGGATTGCTTTCAAAGATGTAGATCGTCCACATACAGCTGTAGAATCATTAAATTATTGTAATCCTGAACTTTTTCCAAATATTCATTTTTTATTAAAAGTACTAGCTACACTACCGGTTTCTACATCAACTCCCGAACGAACTTTTTCGACATTAAAACGCGTCAAGACATTTTTACGAAACTCTACAGGACAAGAAAGACTAACTGGGCTAGCTCTATTAAGTGTCCATAGAGATATTACTGTTAATCCCGATGAAGTATTAAACCAGTTTGCTCTTCAAAAAGATAGGAACATATTATTAGTTTAAAAAATGATTTATATTTGCACATTTTTTATTTTTTATTTTTTATTTTATATTTCATATTTGTATATAGTGAAAGCGACAATAGATGTCAAAGTAATTTTGTTTATTTGATTTTAATAAAAGAAGATTAAATATTTTTCTGCCTTATTTTTAACCAAATTTCAAAAGTCAAAATGTAAATTCAATAAATATACAATTGATATGTTTTGGCCCCCCCCCCCCCCAAAAAAAAAAAAAAAAAATTCTAGATACGGCCTTGGGTATCAGTTATCTAAAGTTTGGCACGTTTTAGATGACATGGCAACGGTGCACTGGTTGCTCACTCCGAACGCAGTTAGTATCGATGATAAATGCTCTTGGTCAATACGTAAAACGAGATTATAGGCCTAAAATCTAGATTCTAGTTTGCGTCACACACTAAGTATTAAGACTGACTGTGGATGCACGAAACTAATGTCCATAATCAACAACTTCCAAACGTTATATTACAATAATTGTGGTAGAGACACAAAAAAAAAACACGGTTACAATATAAAAAGTGAGTAAGCGTGTAACGCTCTCCTGTACATAAGGTGTCTAGAGTCATTGTAAAGGATGTGTTTTCTACCAGAAAAGATGCTATTGAAGAAAATCGAGAATTTTTACTGTCCCAAATGTTAATGACGGACAATAAAAAAACATCATTATAAATACAATACATTCAATCGCTACACTCAGAATATAACACAATACTATAAGAAGTAATATTGGCATGAGTTTAAGTGTTTTTACAGATTTTAATGTTTCAAGACATAGGTAGGTACAGATTGTATGTTTAAGAAAACTTGTTATTTGATTTAAATATAGTTATCCGGCCTATAACCATGTATTCGTGTTGTACTACTAGCTGGTATTAGAAAGTCTGAATTCGAAAATAAACATAAATACTGTGTATTTTAGAAACTTAACTGCGGTTAAAAGCGTTGAATACTAAATGAACAAAAAGCAACTTTTATTTTTTATTTTATGCAATCTATACATATGCTTTATGGTGATATTTAGGACTAGAATTTGTATGCACTTGCATATTTCAACAAGTTAATGATCAATCGTAAAGTATGCTAAGTAAACACAAAATATGTTAAGTGTGATTAATTGGTGGGTAACAATTGTTTAACGCTCTAGAGTAGGGGTCGGGAACCTGCGGCCCCGGAGCAACCCTGCGGCTTTTTCATATGCAACCTTCGCCTTTTTGGAAAATTCTCACTAATATTCAGTAGATAGATTTGTTATTGTATTTAATTAAATAATATTATATGTGTACAAGCAATAATAATAATAATGAATTAATGAAACAATGTTTTTCTATATTTTCTAAATTTAAGATGTATCATTATGTTTTTAATGCCTACTAATTTTTCAATGAAATAATAATACTATCTTTATTCTAATATTCTATAATATATTGTTCGTACTAACAACTACAACTAAAAAAGAGATTGTTCAAACCTGTGCGGCTCCCTGGACATCATGGTTTTGTAATTTTTCGAAAAAATGGCTCTTTCTAACTAAAAGGTTCCCGACCCTTGCTCTAAAGAGTCACTGTAATGGATGTGTTAAATTTGAATTCGATGGTCATTGTATACACGAAAGAAAAATTAATTAAATTTCTCATGAATTAGTGTTAAAATAACTGAAATTGCGTGTAGGTTTTCACTTGCCAGAAACTTGGGGTTGATACCACAATCAAAATAAATTATTTTAAAGGTAGTAATTTCTAATTGTTTTGGAATCAATTCAACACCTAAAGTTGTTTTATTAGTTCACCTGCAATTATAAGTTATTCTAATTCCAATTATTTTCAAAATAACATTTTGTATAAAAATATAATATTGTGTTCAAAATAAATTTTAAGTGATATTGATGTAGTAGTCAATTGGAGTGTTTAATTAACAATCAACCTTAATAAATATTATAATTTAAAAAAAAAAAGTAGATATCAAGTTTTTCTCAACCAACAAGTTTCGAACACGACCATTACCTGTACATTATTTACACAACAAATATTCTAAATAAATGTCTACGCATTAAACCATAAGACTATCTATCGGGGTTTTTACACATGTGATAAAATAAACTATTTAAACAAATTGTTATGGACAATGGATAATGGATATTGGAAGTTTAGTATAAGCCCCGTAAAAAATCTTTGTCGGATCGTCGTAAACTTCGAGTATCCCAAATTTTATGATACAGTAATAACTAATAATGATTATACCTATATATAATTGTGTATGTGTATATATATATAAACATGTATATTGTATAATATTATTATTTTCCTACTCATGTCTCATGGACGGTGAAGCGTATTTACTAGGTAGTGCAAAGAATTATTGGCCTTTCCAAGGCATATGACTCATCTACTATTTATTATTATGTTACAATATATTTTAAGCCAGTGAAAATTAAATTATTGACTTTGTTTATTATATCACATGCACAATTTACATACTTACCATATGGTGTCTTACACATGGTCCCTTTTTTTTTTTATTTTAAAAACAACATGGTCTCTTAAGAGTATTTTTAAAAAATGACTTAAGTTGCTCGCTTATTTCACCAAAAGTGTCAAATAAATTCCGAATTTATAGTAATGCTAAAAACACTATAAGTACTCAATACGTCAAAATAATCTCACTAAAAACTCTAGATTCTACAACAAATTAGAATAAATCAACAATAATTGTACTATTGTTGTTAATTCATAAATAGATAAATGATGCAAGCACAAGGTTTCACAGGTGTTGAAAATATTATATTATCTTTTTTTTTCATGTAATTCATATACATTTTTCTTAAAACTATTATCTGCATAGTCAAATGTGCAAAAGGTAGCAAAGTGTTAATAATATATATATATAATATAAATTATTTGGTATAAAATAACATAATATTACATTATTAAATTACGATTATTAATTGTTTTTGGAATACTTACATACTATAGTTACAACACAAAACTCTTATTTTAACCTCAAATTATTAAATTTAACAAGTAACATCATAACTCAAAGTCACATTATGTAGCATTTGTTATTTCCAGTATTCTTAGTAGTAAATCTTAAAATCAAAAATTGTGAAAATTACAAAAACAGTATTAAAATAAACGACAAAAAAAAATTTAACAATTCATTTAGAGTCAAAAAAAAACATTTCCATGGTTATATTAACAAGAACTGCTTGTCGATTATCAAAATAATGTTTGTTAAAATGACTAAACACGGATTTGTTAAGTTATTAATGAATATAATTTTTAAAAATTTTTTTAAAAATAATATAAAAAATGATAAAAATATATAATTTTATTTTTAATTAAAATATAGCATAATATGGTTAACAATACATATTATTATACATAAAATTGTTTTAACTATACTTAGAGTAGGATTTCAACATTTCACACAATACCCTTATGTTGTTATTTAATATACAAATATTACAGTTAATTTTCTTTTAGTTACTTAATAATTGATAGCAACTTAATTTAATTCCAATAATTCTATGTGCGTGCGAAAAACGATTCTGAGCTAAGATGACCTGTCAGCCTATAATATTACTTAGTAGATTGTATGATATAATTGTGATTAAAGGTATTTATTTTACTATTAGGCATTGATACTATTGGACTTCTAATTCGGGCTAATAATAAAACCAACCAAGCATTTTATTGGTTATATTATCAAGTCTGTATTTTTTACACAATCACGCATCAGATCAGGACAATATACAGTATCTCAACTGTTGTAGTTTATGGCGATCATATTTTGCAGTAAGTACCTGTATATAATATTTTGTCTTAAATACAACGTAATTGTTTTACCTCATTTATTTTGGAAATTTACTTGAAAATAATATACAGTTCATACCGTCCACAATACTGTTCAGTTATTTTAGAGTTGACGGTATACCGGTAAAAAGTGACCAGACTCCACTGTTGGTACCTGTATGCTTTTCGTCTATTTTAGTTTTGAGGTTCAGTTGTGTGAACGGAATGTACCAATCATTTACCACATCAAATTTACGAGAAAGCAGTGCGAAGTAGCTGTTGGTTGAGATTTTTAAGTCTTCGTAGGTACAATTGTTATGTTTGACACGTACGTGTTGTCACCACAAATTTCAATTGAGTTAATACTTTTTAAAGTTGTATCAACAAATGTCTAGGGCATTGTTAGACGATTCCAAGTACGTGTATGATTTGTTAGGCAATGGTTTTTGGAAAGTTGTGTTCACTTTGCAATAATCACGTCTGCCCGATTTTGATTTAATTTCAGAAAATCATAAGCCTCATATATATGTACGTATAAACGTGTGACTATCTATATTCCGTTTTTTTACCATCATACTGTGTCAAATATTAACACGACATAAACCAACATAATGTAATAGTTTTGCATTATTTAATTCGTCAAGCCTTTTTTATTCAAACGATTGTTCAATGAAATATTAAAGCCTATATGGTGGTTTTTCTATAGGCACATATTTTGTTTACCTTGACAAAAAAGGATTATTATTAAATTAGAGTATGTCAGTGTTCAAATTTGTATTATAATTAATTCTAAGACGAATGTTGTACCTAATAGTTCTAGGAAATATGAAACGTATTGAGAAAACAAAAAATAATACACGCTTATTAGCGTCTATAATACGAATCAGATTCCGTTTTTGTCCACCGTCGTCGTCGTCTTCGTTTATCGATTCGCCAGTTTTCAGTGACGACCACCGTAGCGTGCGGCTCCAGGCAAATTTTCACGACGTGGAACTATAGTAGGGGTGTGCTGATAATAGAGGGTGGAAAAGTGAGGGGTGGAATTCTCCAGTATATGCAGTCCAGTACAAAACCGCTTGATTGCGACATGTAGTCGCACGCGATTTTTTATCTATACATTTTTAAATAAAATTAATAATTCATACAAATTAACACCATGATATTGTTGACATTGCCGCAGTTGTAACTGTCTATGTTAAAAAATACAAAGACTTTCTACAGCTGCGGACTATTTCGAACACATATTTTATGGCAAAGTCAATTCAACCGATTCAAAATACTGACATTTTTAAGTATACAGTTAATGTTTCTTTTATAAACATTAATATTCACCGTAAATAAGAACATATTATAAATGGAGTACATACTGTTATAACAATGCATAATATATAAGTCTCCATTTCAATGTTTTGTCTTGTCGAAATTATCTTCTCATTTAATTTATTTTTAATTTTAATTGTCTTCAACATATTAATCGAATTATTCAAGTATTCAAAGGTTTAAAGCAGATGAATTTAATAATGTTTTTTATAGATATTACTTAATTATAATAATAATATTTTTGCAATGCAACTTAACTTTTTTTTTTTACTGTACAGCTTAACCTTTTTTATTTTTCTATTAATAATCTATTATTTTAACATTTTTAAATTTATTTTAATAAACATATATATATTTTTACTTAAAAAACAATGATGCATAAACAAAATATAATGTAATTGCATTTTAAATATAATTAAAATATTGGAAAACCAAACTAATTTAATGTTCGACGAGACAAAATTTAGTCTTAAACGCTAAAAGACCGAATCCATTTTAAATCCACAACATTTGCAGTCTTATAAGTTATAGGTGAGACTATAATGTATTTTTGTTTTTAGGTACAGACATGTAAAAAGAAAACTTTTTAAGTTAATAAAATAATACTTAAATATTTAATTATTGTTCATAATATAACTAACAATTAACTATCATTGTAACTACTATCCAACAGTTCATAAGATGAACATTATATTGCTTAGTATCGAATAGAGATCACAGCTGATACGAAAGGGTTATTAACAAAAAAGAGATGAACCAAAAAGTTTTAATTTTTATAAATATTTACGTTTAATGTATGCATAATATAAATAATATGTATGCTATAAACATATATGCCCGGTATGGCGGTATGAAACATTTGTATAATTTCTGTCAAAAACTTGGTTCCAAGAAAAATGTTGTCGTTGTAAAACCATTTCCCATAACTGAAAAATGTATTAGGAATAGTTTTTTTTCAGTTTTAGTGTCCTAAAACTTCCGTAGTTACTGGTCAGTAACTTAAAAAAATATGTTTTGCAATTTAAAATCGCTGATTTCTAATACTTTGTATACAAAACTGTCATCGGTTTGGATGACAGCTTCGATTTAAAGAGTTTTCCGAGAAAAATATAACGTACGCACACAATCGTATACGAAAATAAAGTTTTCCAACTCTGGAATCCAAAATGTACATAATTTTATTTTTTACAAACCCCAAAATCAAATGTATTATACGAAAGAGGTTTTTAAATATATACAAACGTATAGCAATATGAACGTCAAGGCCAGCGGTGTACTCAGACTTAAACTTTGGTATCAGTGGTTACACTGATACTGTTTTGTTATCAATGTATATGTTATCATATCATTTATTTTGATTGTACAACATACTGATTAAAATCTGATATCGTAATGGAACACGTTAGTGCCAATAACTGGCGAAAACGAATTCTTAAGGCGCCACTTACCTGATAACTTACAGTTTATACAGTGAAGATCACAACTTTAATGAAAGGCCAAAAAATCATCGTTTGGTTATCTAATATTTTGTTCATTTCTAAAATTTAAATTCTGCTGATATTAATTTAATTCTCATTGAACAACGAAATTGAAATGCTTTTTCATTGAATATACATTTTGGTTAGATAACCCGGATAAACTAAACATACATATTTGAATCTGCGATGGTCATTAAATTAAATGTGGATGTAGAACACAAATTACAATATCCCTGAATTTCTACCATTGATTAAATTATGTGATTTTCTCATAATAGCCCATCAACGGAATCTATAAATAGAGTGGTCGAACATTTAATGGTGTAGAACTCGATCAATGTTCGAAGTGCATGGTGACTGATAATTACCACATTAATGATTCATTTAGGTCTCATTACATCATAGACGTTTCAATTAATTTAGCGATTTTCAATTAATTTAGCTCAGAGTTCGAAATTAGTTAGTGTTTGTCATACTTTGATAACAAATACTAACTTACTTATAAAAAAATTGAGTGTGTCTTGCAAATTATCATCCGATTGACTGAATAATATTATACTATCTAACACTGTTTAGAATGTACCTACTTTGTTTCTAGTACTTCGATAAACGTCTGAAATTTCCATATTGTTTGTGGACGAGTGGATTTTAGAGAATTGCAGTTCATCAGTAATTACTGATGTTTAACACGTAATATTGCAGTTACCCATTAAGGCATTACCCAACTATAGGTATAAACCTACAACTTCTGGAGATGGTGAATAATCGTAACAAAAAAGTATACAGGGTGATATTTTTAACAGTTAACACATGTTATCTTAAAAAGTATTAACGTTTTTAATTTTATTATCGTTCATTAATTTTAAATCGTTTCGAAACGGTATTTTTGAAAAAATTACTGATTTTTTTTTAAGTGATAAAATCAAAATATATATTGAACATTTTTAATTTCAAAAAGCTTATTTATATCAATAAATTTGTGTACATCAATATTTCCAGAAAATTATTTTACCAAGGTATACGATTTTTCAAAGATAATGTTTTCATTGAGAAAACTAAAACATTTAAAAAACTAAAAATATTATATTTTTCAATTAATATGTTGTTTTATGGAGACTTCAGGTTATCAAAAAAATATTTTCAAAAAGGTTGATACTTTTCGCGTGGAAGAGTGTTTACAATTAAAGCATCACCCAGAATACTTGATTATGTACTTACGTGATGAGTAGGTAGTCCTCACGTCATATTAAAGTATTAAAAATAAATATACCATTTAAATATGCTAAGTACTTAAAGGTCAGCTGTATGACTTTTAATTACTTACAGGTTGTGTCTCTGATTGCAGCACAATCCAGTAGTACCTATATTGTTTCGTTTACCACTAATAACGGTGGTTACGTATGACTTATATGTACCTAAATATATCATAATATTGTAAACACGATCATAAATTTATGAAATTGACGCTGCTGTAAACGTCTATATCAATATTTGAACACGATTCTCCAATGTGATTACCCAATCATTGAAAAACACTCAAGACGTTAGTTTATACCTAATTTGTTTCTAGCTTCAAAAAAACTACATGTTTCGTAGTATTTGCTTTGGGTTAAGACTGCGTACGATCCTAAAAAATTCCCACCAAAACTTCTTTTGACATGTAACGGAATTCGGAAATTGATGGCTGTCCCTAGGGATTGCACATATCATACTCATCATGCTGAATAAACATGGTATAGAATTGGAAAATATATTAACACCAGTATTTTCACAGAAATGGATTATTTTAATTCACTTTTCCTTCTCACCAAGTGACCAAGGTCAATATTTTGGAGTCTTTCAAATATTAGAAAACACAAAATATATTTTATATTACCTACATGGATTTATCTGTTTTAAAAAAAGAAAATGTTCAGGATAATTTTTTTTCTGGATTCCTAACCCCAAAACTTGAAACTAAATTTATATTCGCATTACTGGCAACTACAGGATATAAAATACTATAAAAATATGTAAATATTACAATACAAGTATAATAACCTTTTTACATGTAATAAATAATGAAATGGTGAACAAAAAAATAATTAGTATAGACATAAATGATTATCATTTGACATACATTTGTATTTTATTATAATATGGGTACGTATTTTATAGTGTTATTAATATGGTAATTTTATTATTAAAAAAACACAAATAAATAAAATATTTAACCATTAATAATAATTATTAATGTTTAATTTATTATTTAATTAGCTTTTCTTGATTGTATTTTAAGTTGATATTTGCCTTCAAATTATTACCGTATCAATACACATGTACGATGGACTTATCACGTGAGTTGACAGAAAAATTATTTCTTGGATTGCCAACTCGCTGATTTAAAAATTTAATGTAAATAAGTTTATTGTAATTCATTATTCCACAGATGTATCAGATGTAGAAAATTGTGGTAAGAAGATTGCGATGCGAGCCGTTGAAAATGTGGTGGTGTATTATTCAAGGATGCAATGGCGTGTTCAGCTTTTTTGAAAGGAGGGAATGAATTTTTTGCTATTCTTAGACCAATGCAGCACTACCTACTTTCGCTAAACTTTCATTGCTACATCATTATATGATAAAAATAAGCCATACGACACCCCCTCCCCTTTTGAAGGACGGGGGGCGGTCTGATCCTCTTGTGGCCTGCAGCCTCATTTTTTTAATGCCATCACACGGTGCTCATATAGGAGTTAAAATTGGATAGTGGATACATGAAAGGTGATATCAACTAGCGTGCAACTGTGCACTCGTAGAATGCATATTCTATAACTTTAGTAAAGAGACCGAATCAATGTCAGATGGATTGCCACAGCGGAGGTGTTTTTCAGTAAGTATATACTAAAAACTATTTGCGGTGTGTAATTCGGCAAGGGTAGGCTATTAGGCAACAGGTTGTTTACCCATAATAAATTTACGAAAATTATAGTCTTTACTGCAATGATACTACATTTATATTTTATAGTTTCCATTATATTATAAAAAGTATATATTTAGTAATTAAGCGACAATAGTGTTAGTGTTAGTGGTACATCAATTTCATACGGAGAACCCCTGGTTTACTTATTCACTTTTATGCGCCACCGTGTCAATCTAACTCATACCGATATTATAACAGTCTTTATGTAATTGCATAAATGAGTAGGAGTAACCGAGTATTTGAATTTACAGTGACCACTGACTAATCTTACTTGAAATTATTCTTTCATTTACCAACTATTTTCTGTATTGAGTTCGCATCGCATATCGTATGGCATTTTCAGCGTATCAGTCATTTGCTTTAGTGAGTCCTTATAGTCCATTAATTTACTACGACTAAGACTCCGATCTCGGTCGACACAAATGTCTTGTCCGTATAATGTATGACACTATTCAGGCCGACTGAGTGCCCGATGATTCTGTAAAGCACATTCACGTCGCTCGCAGACTTGCGATACCTACACCGACTTTCAAGGCCTACACACACCCAAATTTCAAACTCAAGACGAACCCGGACTGACAATCATGTGGACTTCAATGATGAAAAAAGATATTTATGGGACTAAAAATACAAAGCTGCCCTTTTTCGTACAAAGTTGATAATTGGATTTTTTCCTCATAGATCTAACCTCCTCTGCTGTACATTAGGTATCTATAGTCACTGTAATGGATGTGTTAAATTCGAATTCACTGATATAAAATCAATAATTATTGTAGGTATACGAAAAACGATTCAGGGCAAAGACGGTTTGTCACCCTATAATATTACCAAGTATATTATGATATTAATGTGATAAAGGTAATTTATTTTACTATACTATGTAATAGTCATTAGTACTCATATGGTAGATTAAATTCATTTTTGTCGAAAAATTGCATTTGAAAATTAAGTTCATTATGTGTATAAAATATTAATTATAAGCCTACTCTGCAAGTTGTAAGTACCTACCCATAAATAATATTTTTAATGTACAACAAAATTACGCAAATCGTTATTCTTGGTTTAAATACTAAAGCAATTGTGTCCAAATTGGGAAATAAAATAAGTATAAAAAAAACTGTGGTTGAATATTTTTAGATATTTTTTAGCTAGACTTTTTTTGATAAAGATAGGAAAGCTTATGAAGAATCTTGGTTAAAATTCTCAAATCTAAAAAAATTTTTTTACTGAATTTCTAACTCAGGTACTTTAAATTTTTATGATTTTCAAATACTTTGCTTTCGAAATTCGAAGTTCAGACTCTCATAAAAAAATACTGTGGATTTATGCTCAACTTTCTTATAATTTTCATTTTTATTTCAGTTTTTATCGATATTAATTTTTAAAAAAATAGTTATAATCAATAAAAAAATTTGTCAAAAATCGATTTTGCGTAAAAATTCCTGGCTTTAAAAAAATGTATTTATTTTTCCCGGTGCTTTTGAAAACTTTTGGGTATTTTAAATTTTAACCTCCTCTGAGTGGAACAACTAGATTCACTTTTCCACTGGAAAAGATGCTGAAGTAAAAAATCGAAACATTATTTCGACTACTTATAGTGAGGCACAAATGAAAAAAAAACACACAGCGGGTAAGTGTGTAACGCTCTGCTGTACATACAGGTGTCTAGAGTCACTGTAATGGATGTATTACATTTGAACTCCCTATGAATATGTGTTTTTCATATTTTTAAACTGATATTGAAACAATTTGTGAGGACTCTTGTATTAATTTTTCAAGCTTTTTTACGAATAAAATTTGATTGAAATTTAAAGAATGAAAACTAAAAAAATTTAAAATGTCCGTAACAGCTCAAAACGAGTCAAAAATATTTTGAAAATTTTATCAAATAGGTATAGCAAATGATAAAATAAACATAATATACTGCAAATAACAATTTATTCTATGGTTGTTATTTTTTTAATAACAACTAAATAAGAAAATCGTTCTATGAGAAATCGAGTGAATATTCAGTGAATACATTGGATAATATTGTAATATTTTGAACTTAATCATAAAAAACTAAAAAAAATGCCAAATATTTTTTGAAACCCAAACAGAGTCAAAATATTTTAATAATTTTATAATGTAAAAAAAATTTTTGAAAACATACAATTTTTGAATAACAACAAAATAAGAAAATTTGTATGAGAATTTGTTAGTTTGCGGATGAATGTCTAACTTCAAACGCTCGTAATAAATTGATTTGATTTTAAGGTAAACTTTTTTTTTCATTAAATATAAAAATACTTAATGGGGGATCTTGTATTATAATTTCAAATTTTAGATGAACATGGAATATTTTTTTATGAATGTCCAACTGGAAATAATTTACCAAATGTTGAATTTGATCAACATTTTAAGAAGCTCAAAAAAAATTGAGGATTTACTCTCAACTTTTTTTTTCATTCCACTAACAACCATTGCATTACATATTCAAATATTTGACAGTGTTAAAATTGTTTGACCGACAATAGTTTTAAAAAAATTAATAAAACACAAACATTTTTTATGCCTATAAATAAGTAGCTCAAAAAGAATCGCAATATTTCAAAATGTTATGGTGAATAAAAATTACTCATATCTATATTCCATGAAAATGTTATACATCTACTGTTTTTTTTAGAGTTACACAAAAAAACAAAATTGATTGTTTTTTAAAAAAAAAAAACAAATTTTGCATAAAAAATCAGTTTTTTTATTTTTCTTGACGCTTTTGAAAGCTATTGGGAATCCCCACCAGAAAAAATGTTGTTAAAGTAAATCAAAGCATTATTACTGTCCTAAATGGTGACGGATGCACAAAAAAAAAAACACAAATCATTATTGTTAAATCAATACATTTATCGCTCTACTATGAACCTGAAAATGTTGATGAGTGGGTTCCGCTCTGCTGTACAGTAGGTGATTAAATGAGTAGCTATAACTGATATAAAAACATTGTATACTAAAAACGATTCAGAGCGATGACGGTTTGCCAGCTTATAATACTATCAGTAGGTACCTATATTCTACGGCAGAGGTATTCAAACTTTTTCATCCCACGGCTCCTTTAAATCTTCAAAAAATGTTGACAGCTCAGAAATTATAAATGACAAAAACATCAATGTTTATTATGATTGTAATTTATATTTTATAATTTATTTACCATATTACATATATACCATAAATTAAAACCATATTTAGCGAATGACTGTTGTAGACAATTCAACGTTTCCCAACCGGTGTGCCTCAATGATATTAGTAAACGTTTTTCGTAAAAATATTTATTGGTTTTCAATTATACTACACGGCTCCCTTCGACAACTCCCGTGACGCCCCTGGGAGCCGCGACGCACAGTTTGAATACCTCTGTTCTACGGTATTATTGTTATTGAAGTAATTTGTTTTTCTATTAGACATTAGTAATTATAACAAGTTATGAGAAACGACTTTTTTAGTTAGGTACTTACTATTAAGAAATCTTTATTTTGGATCGATCTATGTGGTTAATAACTGCCTTTTAACTGAGTTATGTTTGTATATTTCTCTACGGTATCAACGTCTAGCTTTTATAGAGTTATACCTAGATTATATTATTATATTATTTATACATGGATTGTTCACTAATAATTTATAACTTATAACTTAATTTTCTCGGTGTGACTTAAGTTAATATCTTTCATTGGGGGCACAACTATTTGAAATTTATTTAGTATGAATGATACGTTGATTGCACACATTTAGTTCATTTCAATTATTTATTTAAAGATTCAATTAGGTAATAATAAGTGACCAACGAACACACAGCATTTACATATTCATACAAACAATTGATTCGAATATCTTTTCATTCGAACAGACAGCATCCTTAATCATGATATTCCAACATATGACGCGGTCTCATATACACACGATGCATTTTCTAGTGTTTTTGATTTTTGTCTGTTTCTAGTGTGCTTAAATACTATTTTCTTCCCAATAGATGACAAGTATCGACGATGATAACAGAAATAAAATAAAATAATAATTGTTGTTGTATCGTATATTTATATTATTGGTGTTATGATGGTCATTCGGCCCTTCGGTCATTTTTAATTAAAATTAATTTAACCAGATACTATTGTATATAAAAATAAAAGCATATAAGACCTGTGCGAGTATTTATGCACGTTAACGATTTAAAACGAATACCTATACCTAATACCGCAATATTTATTGTAAAAATAGCGTTTAAGTAGAGTAGAGAAGAGAAAATAATAAGGAAAACGTGAATCATTTCGTTTTAAAGCTTAGAAAATGCGGGATCTCATGAATTTTGTTTTTATTTACCTATTTTACAAACATTAAACATGGACGATTTTGAACTAATTAAACTGTTTGATTGATAAACCTAGATATGTAACTAATATTGTTAATATTCGGATTTATATTCATACACATTTTAATACTTAAATTATATTATCTGATTGAAAATAATATATTAAAGTTAGAATACTTTATATAAAAAAAAGTATTTTTGTTTAAGTGTAAAGTTAGGTTATGTTCTAGGTGCGTTATTATACTTCCAAAGTAATATTTTACATTCTAAGTACAGTAAAGCCTGTCTTGTGCGGAAGTGCAAAAATGTCCGTTTTAGGCAGGTTTCCATACAACTGAATAAAAAGGAAAATTCCGTAATATAGAGTTATAATATTTTGCACGATTAAGGTTGTAACGTTTTTCGGCCAATAATAAAAAATATCATAGGCCTAAACTTAAACAAATCTTTGAAGACATTATGAAAGCAAATACAACGATACGAAACGACAGGTAAACTACGACTGCGGTGACAATAATAAGCGCTGACGTGTAGATTCAAAATAAAATGTACTTATCTGTCGATACGTATT